GGGACGGGAGCCATCCTCTGTAATGTCTCAAACCATTTTGATCGCCCTTTTCAGCTCCCTTGATGCGTCGAGCTGTGTTTCATATTCTTCATAGACTCTCCTACCCTGGGATCCGAGTCGCACAGGAGCTTCTCTCGGAAAGGTTCGTCTGGGCTGATATGAACAAGGATGTCAAAGCTTGGGCACGCTCATATCCGGAAGCCAGTGGAGCAGGGTTCAGCGTTACAACATCTCTCCGTCCAGCACCTTTCCCAGCTCAGATGCAATTTTCTATCATGTGCATGACGATGGCGTAGGCCTTTTGCCCACATCCAAAGGTTTCACTCACTTGCTTGCGACCACTACATCCACTGGGCCGAAGCAATCCCCTTAACGAACATGGGAACGACAACATCGTTAAGGATTCCGTCAGTGTTTGGATCGCCGTTTTCGTTGCCCCATTCACAATTACGACCGACCGAGGTGCTCAGTTCGAAGCCGCACTCATCCAAGCCCTCCTCAACTTTCTCAGCTGCACGCGATTTCGAATGACGACCTACCATCCAGCTGCCAACGGCGTGTTTGCACGTTTCAACTGCCAGCACAAGACAGCCCTGTGGGCCGCACAGAGTCCAGTCAACTGGCCTGAAAAGCTGCCCCTAAAGCTCTTTGGCATTCGCTCGGCAGTGAAGTCAGACCTGGATTGCAGCACGGCCGAATTGATGTTTGACATTACGCTCCGGCTACAAGGCGAGATGGTCACACCCACCTCATATGGTGTTGGTGAGAGCCCCGCTAACCTTGTTCATCGTCTACGGCAGTTTATGCGCTCACTTTCCCGGTTCCATTTCGAAGACTTCCGGCTGTGTCTTAGTTCAAAAAGGCTTGGCCAACTGCACCTATGTGTATGTTAGATGCGACCGAGTGCAAAAAAACCACTGGAAGCACCAAACGAAGGGTCGTTCCACGTTATCTCACTCAACACCTACACTTGTTGAATCTTTCGTGGTACAAGGCGGACGTGGTCAGTGTCGATCGGGTGAAAGCT